AGTGTCCCCCATCTCCGGCATCCTTCTCCCATCCTACCTTCCTCTGCCCGAGAGGGGCATGGAGCACTCAGCCCCCAGCGTGGGTGCAGTTCTGTAGCCCCCGGGGAGAGCTCTGGGGTGCAGGAGGGATGGGTGGGATCTGGAGAGATGGGGGAATGCAGTGGGATGGGTGGGATGTGCACGTGCTTTCCCCAGCACCGACAACTTTGCGGCAACAGGCTCCGTCTCAGGGGTAGACCCAGTGGCACCCCCAGAGCACGGAGGGTCCCTTGGAGGGGCCCTTGGCGTTCCCAGACCTTGGCGTTCCCAGCAGGAGATGCTGTGCAGGGGGAGGAGAACGTGAGGAGAGCACAGCAGGGTGGGGGCCGAGCTGGGCCCATCTGTTTCCAGCTGCGGGAGGGGGCACAGAGCAGCTCGAGGCTGTGCTGCCTCCAACAGACAAAACCCCGGCCCAGCCTGGGCTGCGCTCAGCCTGTTGCTGTCCTAAATCTAAACCATACTTACTTTTTTGCTAAGAGACTCCTTGAAGGGCTCTGGGATGCTGTGAGTAATATTTTTGGGGTGTTTACACGACAGCATGGTTTCTGTCTCCCAAAAAAAAAAAAAAGACTCTGAGGGTGGTTTTTGTTGTTGTTGTTCTGCACTCATGAGTCACTTCCAGAGGGGAGCGGGAGCTGACGCCTGTTTTTTGAAAAGCCTGAGAGGTCTGAGCGTGGCTCCTCGTGCTGCACGTCCTGCCTGCACCACTCCAGCCCCCCAGGGAGGCTCAGCACCCCAGTGCCCCTGCAGCCTCAGTGTCCTGGCTGCTCCAGCACCGTCCGAGTCGGAACCAGGTGCTCCAAACTGGGCATTATCGTCCCAGTGGGAAGACGGTGCCTCCATCAGCGCCCGTGGGCTGGGCACACAGCCCCCTGCCCGCCCCTCGCTGCCCTCTGCCACACCTGGCCATGGTCACCTGAGGGGCAGGGCAGGTGTCCCACGGGGTCACCAGCAAGCCCCAGGGCTGTGGCAGCAATCCTGCTCCCTCCCGCCTGGAGCTCATCCTCCTGGCTCCTGGGCTGGGAGCTGGGTGTGGAACCACCCCCACAGCTCTGGAAAAACAGGTTTTCCTTGCACCCCTGGGAAGCAGCGAGGTGGAGAGGGGAAGATGGAGCCTTTCCATCCGTGGGATTTCTCCAAGACCAAGAAAAGCCACCCAGCCCTTTGGGACACACAGAGGGGAGGGGACAACCTGTGCCTGTCTCTAATCCCAGCTGGGTGGCAGGAGCAGGGGCAGGGGTGCTGCACCTGCCCTGGGGATGCCTGCACCCCTCTTCCTGGGCCCTGGCACCTCCCTGGGGATGCCCAAGGTCCTTGGTGCCACCACTCCTCCTGTTCCAACTTGCCAGTGCAGCAGCATGTCTGGGATTTTGAGGGCTCCAGATTAAATCTGGAGCCACTCCCCTCTTTTTGGGGAAAGGTGCCAGGCTCTGTGGGAAGGGCTGGCCAGGCTGCTGCTCCCCAAATGCCTGAGGGGACCCCCAGGAGCCGCCTCAGCACCAGGCACTGGCTAATTCTGCAGGGTGGATGTGCCATGGGCTTGGGGCAGGACACTGCCCTGCAGCCAGTGCATTTTGCTCCCTAGTCGGGGCTGGGAGGATGCAGGCAGCACCTCACCTGCCCCAGGGCGAGGGCTGGGGGGACAGCACGGCTGGCATGGCAAGCCAGAGCTATCACTGACTGACCTTCCTCCCTCCCACTCCTCCTCACCGCTGCTGGGACAGACGATGAGCGAATCCAGTGCCAAATCAAGCCAGCCCCTGGCCTCCAAGGGGGAGAAGGATGTGTCAGAGAAGAGAGGTCGAGGGCGGCCCAGGAAGAAGCCACAGGTATGTGGTATCCCCTGGGAGGAAGGGATGGCCTGGCACCCCAGGGTACAGGACAGCAGGAAACCCACCCACACCTGCATCCCCCAGTGCAGTCCCTGTTACCCTCCTTCTGGCAGCACCTCCCAGTGCTCAGCAGCAGCAAAACCCTCCCGGGGGGCTCCAGAGCCCCCCAGCCCTGCAGCACCCAGAGCTCCTCCCAGCCCTGGCAGGGCTGGGGGCTCCCCTGCCCCTCCCCAGGCTCGGCTGAACCTGCCTTTGCAGACAGGCTAATTAAAGCCCCATTAGCAAAAGCTGCTCAGAGGGATAAGATGCTGCTGGAGCCTTTATAGTGCCAACCCCCCCTCAGTCCCCCCGGGGCAGGTGGAGTTCCTGTGCATCCTTTTCCTGCAGAAAAGGTGATTTGTGTGTTCCCTGAAGCTTCCCAGGCTGTGGCACCAGCTGAGCTCAGGGACTGGGCCGAGGGGCCGTGGGCACTGTCTGGCTGAGCCGAGAGGCTGGTGCTGGGGAGGAACAGGTCACGT